ATCTGCGGTCTTAATTCAACTTGGAGGCTAAATTCCCTTCATCGGATATGACAAATACTTAATTTTACCGAAAATTCAAACTCGAGTGCATTTTGTGGGTTTCGTAACGCTCTTTCGACATCTGTGCATTGTCAAATTTGCATTTTTCAATGAATGTTCGCATCGGAAAAACAACCAAGCGTCATGCAAAATGATAATCAATACACGCTGGAAGTCCACGCGGCCCTAAGATGCAACATTACCACGCCAGCTGGCGCCCTTTCTTTCGTATGCAAGAAAAAACCAAAACACAGCCAATATGAGACTGCGTGTTAACTGTAATGCTGTTATAAACAGTTCGGCTGCTGCAAATTTAGCGTAAAAATGCGTAACTGCCCACGCCTTCTAGCCTGGGTGCGTTTACATAAATGTCCAATTTCGCAGCTCGTTAACACTGGAATGATTTTGATTCGAATTATTTAAAAGGCACCAGTTGTACGTATTTAAAGCTAGATTAGAAAATAAGAAAAAAGAGAACGAAGTGAAAAAATGGGAAGGGGAATATTGAAATATTTGTAATTGGTAAGTTAATAACAGAAGTACAATTTGCGGCTAGAAGACAAAAAATTTAAGAAATGGCAACAAAAAAACACTTAGCGTCTGACTGTATCGAAACAACATCGTCGGCTCACATTCTGTTAGTCCGGTTGAACCTGATGAAGTATTGCATTCGGTTGCTGTACTAATTCTCGCGTTTTACAAACGAAATGGAAACGATTCTCGGGGTTGACTTTTGCGTAATCCAATCAGCAAAAGGTTCATTGTGGAGGTGAAAACCGGAACGGCAAGAGGAGGAGAAGGGGCTGATCGAATCCATTATGAACGACTTAAATTCCAGTCAGTTTCAACTACTCTTGTAATGGAAATACTATCATTCGTTTACTGCTGCTTCTACTGAGGCCAGTACAGATAGTTTTAGAAAACAGAAGGGATGCCTTTACCCATCTCTCAATTTCGCTCTCGTAAAAGCAACTCGCTAGTTTCCCGCGTACGGTTTGCTGCCTATTAATAGCCTAAAATAAACTGCTTTTACACCTGACCAACAAATTTCATGTTTTAAATTTATTTCCTCTTCCGTACGGATGATTCTAACTTTCTCGAGAACAGAAGTAGTGGTTATTTTATAATCACTTGATAGATCAGCTGCTGATGTATATTATAAATGAATAATCACAATAATGAGAATAATAACAAGCAACAATAATAAAGGTTGCA